CCATGCGGCCGAGGTCGGACACGGTGAAGCGGCACTGGCCGATGCGGATGAGCTCGTCGGCCGGCGTCAGGTCGCACTCCGCCTCCGTCACTCTGGCCGCCAGGTGGAGGCAGCTGAGGCTGACGCAGGACAGGTGTTTGGGCTGGACCTGAAGAACATTCAGAAAAATCTTTCACACGTCGATGCAGGGAAAACACCATTAGCCACTAATTCAAGATGGCCGCCATGGTTGTCAAGGAAAACAAATTTTTGTACTAAATTTGAGAATATCTGTCATAGATGATTGTCATCTTGTGTTTCCTTTTTCTAATGGACATTTTTCAAAATGGCCGCCATGGTTGTAGTGAAAAATCTGTTTGAACTAAAATCAGCCGTAGTTATTGCAAGTGGTGGGCACAGCTAGCCAAAAAGTTAGGTTCCCTGACAGCTAATTCACTTAGCAAGAATCTTTGCTATGCTAATCATAAACATAAAAGAATTAGAGAAAGCTAATGCTAATCATGTTAAAAAAAACTTACTGGAAGCTAACATTAAACTGTCAAACACATTAAAAAGTGATCGGAAGCTAAAACTAAATTGCTAAACACGTAAAAAAAATTTTAAAACTTGCGGAAGCTAAAGCTGACCAGTAAGACGATCTTTCTCTGTCGTACATTTTCATCTCCTTCCAGTTTTTGACTTCTGAGAGACACGTAAACTCCAAAGTTTTGCTGCATGTTGTTATTTTAAAGTTATATGAACAGGATGAGCAACGTCAAAAACTTATGATGTGACAAAATGTTCATCCAAGTCCTGGAAATTAAGATTTCATGACAATAACTGGTCAAAACAGGGTCAAAAAATGGCCGTCACCCTGAAATTCAAGTGGCTAATATGAAAAACACGTGACCAGAGGATTGAGCATGCTAATGCTAATGCTTGTATCCACAGTTTAAAGATTTTCACAGTAATTTTCTGGACTGGAGGCGTTCGGTCGTACCCTCATCATGGCCAGGAATCTGTCCAGCAGGCTGACGGCTTGGACGAAGCTCTGGGTGCTGTAGCCGAAGAAGCTGGTCAGGCTCCACAGATCCTCCACGGTCACATCCCGGCTCCTGGCTGTGATCTGGCCGCCGCTCTGGGGGGCAAAGACAGTTTAGAAAATCTCACAGCAGAGTTTCTTTGGACTTTACCGGACGGACGCGTTTCTCACCTGCTGGGCAGAAACGATGAGGTTCAGGCCCGTCTCTCTGGGCAGAAAGTCCGCCTCCTGCTCATAATTCACCCTCAGCTCCTTCATCAGCCGCACGGCATCCATGTTCACGGTTTGTTTTCCCACCACAGTTCAGACACTGCAAGGAACAGAGAAGATAATTTAACCTTTAGCCTAGCCTAGCATAGTAGCTTCCCTGTAGCTACTGGAAAAAACTAAAGAGTCCCATTCATCGTATGGTTCATCATGACAATTTTAATTAATCAGACATGATAAATCCTAAATAGTGATGTTTAAAAGAAGTCAAAACTATCTGTATTGTTATTTTTTTGTTCTAAGAAAGTGTCAATAAATTTGAAAATATGATTAAATGTTGTTACTGTTTGTGGTTTATTGGTACTAATCACACTTTTTTGTGTGACTGTTCTAAAAAAGTACTACAATAGGAATGTTTTCCTACAACAGTATTTGTGTTTGTGGAGCTATAACTGCTGTAACACACAGTCACAGCCATAATATTAGCTAAAAAATTAGTAATACTTAGGTTTTATTGTCACTTTTATTGATTTTACAATAGTACCACAAAATATGCTGTTTAAAATGTAAGTCTATATTGCCATACAATGACACTGTGTTTCATAATTTGTGATTTCCCCTGCATTCATTATGTAAAACTGGATTCCTAAAAACAAAAAAGCACTCCGCACTTTTCAGATCTCCAATCGTAAACTATTTCTGACCTCCTTGTAAGGCTTCAGGTTCGGGTAGAACCCGGTTTGTGTTCCGGGGCTGTGCTGTGATGTAACCCTGTCACTGATCGGCCTCTTGGCCCCGGCAGGGAGCCCGAACCCGGCCCACTTCCCCCAGCTGGAGCTGGGCTCCGGTGTCAGGTTTCCTCCGGTAGACGCCTCTCAGTTTGACCCACAAACAGAAATCTACATTTTTTAGACGTTTCCCCCTCTAATTTAACCAGAAAACACCGCATTTAAACCCGAACCTGCCGGGTTTGGGTCGTTAAAGTGGACCGTTACCGTCGAACTGAGCTCGAACCGTTTGTTTGCGTTTTTAAATCCTCTGATCGGAGCGGGGGGAGGGGAACCGCTTTTAACATATATAACCACATCCTCTCCTTCTAAAACAGCCACAATCACACATTTTAGTTCATTATCACATTTATCAGGAATCTGAAAGAAAATGTGGAAAAATATCCTTTAATATTTGGAAATAGGACAATGTATGTCAAGATTCCAGATGAACGACGGTGAAGTTGGCTTCCGGTTCGGTCACGTAAACATATAAAGTAAAAAGGAGATTTCAATCTTTTTCAAAAAGATTTAAGATTTGCTGGCTTCAAATTCAGAAAAATGTGATGAAATGAGATCTTTTAAATTATATTCTTGACTAATAACACATCAAATTGTTCTGTGGTGGTCCAGGAAACCTTCATTATTTAATTTTCTGCTACCGAGACCACAAAAAGTAGAAAAAATTGCATCATAATTTAATGTTTCACAGCTCTGTGTTTATATTTTTTATAAATTTATTTAACTGCAAAATAAGAGAGATTAGATTAAGAGTAATTTACTGTTCAAAATTAATTTGTATTTCACGAGCAGAACAAAGGTTTCACAGGTTATAAATTGTATTTTAAGGAACATAATTTCAATTTAAACCAGACTGAAAGTGTTAAACTCTGAGGCTGGATGTGGTCTGGCTTTGAGTTTACAGACATTAAAACTGAAGCTGGGTTTTTGTTTGTTTATTCACAGACACAACGAAGATTTAACGGGTCAGAGAGGCTGTTTTAAATTGTTTTGTTTTTTTAATTTTGATTTCTGTTCATCATAAAGTAATCGATCAGTTTTATATTGTAAACTAGAGCCGATGTAAAAAAAAAAAAAAAAACACACAACAATAAAACAATAAAATGCTGCAGATTTGAAAAACGCTGCGGAATAGTCCTTTACTGAGGCTCCGAATCGGAAACTATCTTCGTCGCCTTTATTTTCGGTTATAGGAATAACGGCATAACTAAAGCTTGGTAACGTTTGAACAGTATTAATATATTTATATTATCGGTAAAATATCTGTAGCTAAAAGACAATTGTTGGCTATTTATTCTTCCTGTGGTTTTTTCCTTTGCTAAAATGGAATCTAAGCGGAATATTTTCCCGTAACAACTCGGTGTCAGGACGAGTTAAAAGCTGGAAAACACTTTAAAACAGTTCTCCTACCTGTTATTGCTGGTTAAAGCCACATATCTATCGTCTGTTGTCGTTTATTCCTTCCAGTCTTCTCTCCTCTTTTCTACTCCTCCTTTCTCTTTCCTCTCTTTTGTTGATGTTCAGACAAGCCCCGCCCACGTGTCCTAGCAAAACCGCAACAACCAATCACAGCCTTGGTTGACGTTAGCAACCGCCTCCTTTTAAGGACTAATCGCATAAATCAACGGTTGCAACGAACATTTTACTAAGATTTTTCACTTTACTTCGATCTAATATATCCATATATTTCCTCTAGGTGTATCATCTGTTGAGAAATATTAAGAGTGACTGAAATCTAAAAGGTCTTCGGCTAGACGCACCCCCTGTGACTGACTTTTCCATTACCCAATCAGCAACCGGCAACTTGTTGTTTTCAAATAGTCCGCCCAAAATTCTACATTCTGATTGGTCTAGGGAAATGAATGCTCCTGACGTAATCTGGACATTACGTAGTTGTATTTGACAGCTTTTTAACAACTGTTATCAACCAAACTTGGTATTAATCTAAAAAACAACGTCTGTAATCAGCTGAAACACTTATTGACTTCTTTCGGGCTCTGATAAAGCTGACTTATGTAAAAATAGGTAATTAGTTTAAGGTTAAAATGTTAGAAGAGCCTTACAAGCTAATTAAAGTGAAACACACCCTATTTAATTCAGTTCAATTGAAAACACTTTAATAATCTCAGATAGAAATTGAGTTTTTGAGTCACAAGGACATTTAATTTCCCACTGGGATCAATAAATTAGAAGTTGATAGCTGTGGGTAGGAAAGATCTTCTGTAGATGTTTGTGTTGCAGCAATTATGAAGAAGCCTATCAACTTATTACCAAATATTCTTAAATACTTAAATAAAACGTTAAATACAACACAAAGTGTTTGTTTATTTATAACAAATACTTTATAATTAGTAGACCCACATCTATCTAGAGGTTTTACTGAAAAGCCGATTTTGCTGCAACCAAATCAGCTGTTAGTTAATTTATAGAACTTGGTTAAATATAGGAAGCATTTTGAAAGAAATCCTGTTCTTATAACTGAGAATAAATTTGTGCAACTGAATCCAAATGAATTTGAAAACGAAATGTCGGTTTTGATACAGAAAACCTGCAAAATCTTAAAGTTTTGGATGAATAGCATCTGTTTCCTATAAAAAAAATAAAAATAAACTAACATTTGAAAAACTAATAAAGAAAATAACTGAACTATTTTTGTTTTGTTTTATTTAATTGTTTTTATTATTATTTTCTTGAATCACGAGTATTTTTGACTGTTTTTGTTCCACAAACAAAAACACTCTGTTATGGAACAACAAAAGTACTTTTCCACCATTCTGACCTGCGTACATATATGTACATATTTGTTCTTTTTATCTGCTCTCTATGTCTATATTTAGAGTCTTTGCGCTGTGAGCGTGTGAAACAGAAGGTAAAATCTTTATTTGTACAAATGTAACGCCTTATTTACAGTGGAATCGTTACATAACAATGAACTAGAAACAGAAGGTGCGATTGTTTCTCGCGTTAGCTCTGGCCGTAGGTGGGCGGGGTTTCATCCCTCCCTCTCTCTCCTCCCAGTCCCCTCCTCGGAAGTAGACGTATCCCGTCTATATTCCGTTCTTATTTTTTTTTTTATATATTTATATATCAACCCCTCTACCCTCAAAACTCACAATGGACGACTAAACCGGAGCACGGGTCCTCGATTCCACCCGTCTTTCTTCCTGCTTGGATCGAGAGGACCGGATGAAACCCAACTGTGGTTTTCTCCGCTTCGCAGGGGAGGTAAGACGCCGGGCTCCGTCTACTTCCTGGCGCTGACTCAGGCATTTAAATGTCCCTGTGGTGGTGTTAGTGTTTATTACTGCAACACAGCAACCAATCGCCTTTATTTCACCCCAACGGAAAGCTCTGAGTTTTGTTTCTAGAATATATTTAAACAATAAATCTTCTTTTTGTTGTCCGTGACGTTAGCCATCAAGCTGCTAGCTGCGCTGTGAAATTAGCTGCATTCCAGAAAGTAGTTCGTTTCATTTTCAAATGCACCTGTCTTCTGAGTTCTGGAAATTTCCCTAATTTCTGTCGGACCGTCCAGGTGTTTTCCAACCTGTCAGCAAGCTCTGTTTCTAAAGCTTTGTTTAAAATTAGCAACTAAAATTATTACGTTTTTGTTGACAAAATCCAACCCTTTTGATCAATTATCCATCCAAGGATATTATAGGATGATTTAGATCAAGTCTTAGAATGATCTAGTCAAAGTCCAGACCGAAAGGAAAATTGATCTTCACACATGCTTTCTATCCAGTCTGACTGAGCTTTAGATGTTTTGAAATAATGAACATTTTGTAGCTGTATGTCAGCAAAAACTGATTTAAATTATTGATCTGTGTCTTTATGCAAGTATCAGTTAAACAGCAGTTAAGTAAATTGAAGCTTGCGGTTATAAAGTAGCAAAATTTGAAGAATAATTTTACAAATTACCTTTTTTTTTCAACTATGATGGCATCAGATGTTGAAATGAATTTAACTTTAGCACAGCGATGTGTCAGATTTTCAAAAACTTAATTTCTTACATTGAAGCCTCTGGAAGGAAAAAATATAAAAATCTCAGAAATTTCATATTTAAACATTTTAGATTTTGCCCTTCAACCTCATCAATGTTTTGTAATTAATGTTTTACCCATTTTTCTGGTTAATTTATTAATTTTATTAGATATTTAGGTCAAAATTATCATAACATTTGATGTTTCCCATTGAAAACGTCACCAGTCTAGGATGTCATGTTAACAGCCATTACTTGAGTAACAAAAGCACAGCCTTATATTTTCAAATCAGTTTGATTTAGAGGTGCACTAATTACAATTTTCTGTCCGATCACCAATCTTTAAAGATCCTGACCTGGCAATTCCAATGTTGGATTTTTTTTTTTGTCTGAAATTATCAAGAGCAAATGGGGACATTGGCTGATTTTCAGAGCTTTATGGAGGCAAGTAAGTTTGGCTTCACATGTAAATATCAGCAGATTGACAATTTCCGAAAATGAATGGGGCAGTCATATGTAAAACTGTTTCCTTCGATTGTTTTAGAAATGCCACATACATCAAATATGACTTAAAAGATATTTAACTTAGTAATTCAGCGTCTTAAAATTGGACGTCTGTCTCTTTAAGAAGCTCCTGCTCTCTCTGAAACTCTGCCTTTATTAACCCTTAAACAAATCATTTTTACCAGCGTTTCACTGAGAAGCAGCTCGTATAATGAGCTCAGCAGGTGTTTGCTAATTGCTGCTGGCTAGTCTGAAGGAGCTGAGTTTAGAAGGCGGGGCTAGGCCCACCCAGGCGTTTTGCACAGCTGAATGGTTGCCATGGAGATTGAAGGATTCTTCAAACATATGTGAAAGAATCAAAGGAACACTCCAGGGAATAAAATTATAACATGATGGAAGGCTAAAATAAATAAATAATCGGTTTTAAATGATACTGTCCCTTTAAACCAACAGAACTCGACGGTTTGTTGTTAAATAAACCAACTAAAAGCTGAAACTTGTTGGGTTTTAAAATGAAAACCTTTAATTAAATGATAAAGCAGGCACTTTGAAAGCGTTTGCATAAAAACACACGTTGTGTTTATATGAAGCTGAGCTGCGTGTGTGTGTGTGTGTGTGTGTGTGTGCGCGGGTAGCTGTATCCAGTGGGGAGGTCGGCTCGACCCGGGGAGGCCAGGATGAAGTTCGCCCAACCCTGGGGACGCCAGAGGCTGTCTTTTCTCCTGGAGAAGGCCGCCTCTAGGGAAGCCCAGACGTGGAGGGGCTACGTGGCCAAGAAGCAAACCTCCCAGGTCAGGACCGGCGAAAAACTGCAGAAACTATACATGCTAACACGTTTCTAGAGAGAATACCTCCAGAAATAACACAAAAACAACTTACGAGTACATTTTCAGCTAGAAATCTGAGCTTGTTTTATTTAAAAACTCCTTAAATTTGATGAAAAACTTCTAGTCACATAAAACAAAACATTTTTATGTCGTCCAAGAAATTACTCAAGTAAGAGTAAAAACATATTTGGTAAAAAGTTTACTGAGTGACTGATTAAGTTATCAATCATTTAATATTTTAAAATTACGTCATCAGACGGACCAAAAAATAAAGTTCAGTAGAAATTTTTTTTATTTTAAGGAACAAAATGACAATAATTCATATACGTAACAAAATAAGGCAAAATGAATTTTTCCAAATCAGTTTCTTTCACTAAATAACTTTAACTAACCTGCAGGTGAGTTTCTGGTTAAAACATGTTTGTTTTTCATTCAGTGGGAAGAAAATCCAGTTTTTACTCAAGTAAGAGCAGAAATACTTCATAATAAAACTGAATTTTTACTACAGCGTAGTAGAAATACTCCAACAGTACATTTTTTTCAAAAAGTAAATTTTATTTAAATGTGGTTACTGGGTCTCAAACCAGTCAGGGATTTCCCACTGTGGAAACTGGATGAACTTCGGATGTTTCTGCTTCATTTTGGGATTTTTACGTCACTGATTTCAGTTGGTTTTCAGGGAAAAACCTGAACGACGTCAAAAACAAACTCATTTCTGCTTTTTCTTCCCTTTCAGTTATGAAACCGTAAAATGACACAAGTAGGAAGCGTCGAAACTCTGTGTCATATACATGCAGATGCATCCATATGAGGTCAAAGTCAACTTTGGTCAAAGTTTCTGTTTGTTGTTTTAGACTAAAGGAGAAATGGAGGCAGCAGCGTCTCCCAGGCAACGTTTTATTAACTCACATTAGAAAGAAAAATCTAAACATCTTCATCAGTTTCTTTAAAATGTTTTTACATTGTTTTCAGAATAAGTTCTGATATGGAAAACGTCTCTGTAAACACATTTAACTTTATTAACTTTTCCAGAGACACTAAACTCTGAAAATGCTAAAGTCCAAACCTGCAGTTTGTTGTTCAGGTTCTGAATAAAACACTAAAACATTTATGGGTTGCATTAGCTGCTATACCGTTAGCATTGAGAGGCTATTTTGGGCTAGCATAGCCTAACCCTATTATTGCTATTCTAGGCTAGCATAGCTTCACTGATAGGCTAACTCCTTTTAGCACAACTTGAACACAGCAGTAGTCTTTTCTGGGAACCAATCAGATCGTTTTTAGAAGCAGAAATTAAAACTGAGAAGTTTTTTCCATCATTGTTGTTAGCGGATGTCGCTTGTGCGTCAGATTTACGGGTTTACCAGAAACGTGCAAATAAAAAGGTTCCGCCAAAACTTTTACAAAAGTAAAAAAAAATTAAATTAATTGTGTTAAATTTTTAATGTGTTGATTAAAATTAATTCTCTCGAGTTTAATAATTAACAAGCTTGTGAATTTGTTAGATTTATTTGGATCAGAAATGGAGGAACGGATGGGAGGGAATCATTTTATTTAGATTTTCTTCTCTCCGTTTTCTTGTATTTTATTTCTTGTGTTTTATCTATTTGAGTCATCCTGGTTGTGCAGCTGTTTTTAGTAAATGGCTGCTGTTTCTTTTAAATGCTTTTTAAATAGTTTGTTTAGGAATCGAAAGCAAAACACAACCAACATTCCAACCTACCTTCTAATTATTAAATACCATAAATACCATAAATACCATCTATTCATTCACCGGTTTATGAAAAACCAACCAACTACAGAGAATCATATCCTTTAAAATGTGTTTTATTTTCTTCAGTCTCCTTGAGGTGTGACGTGTTTCCAAACCGTGAGGTTAAAGTTGCGAAATGATTGTTAAACTGTTGACGAATTGCTCGGTTGCCATGGTCACGTGAGTCTGGGTGGCGTTTCGACTCAACGTTTCACAAAAGACAGAAATAAAACCTGCAGTTTTCAGACGTGACACACATTCAGGAAGCAGCAGAAACACTGAGTCACAGAACAAACCAGCTGACAGGGTGTGTGTGTGTGTGTGTGTGCGTGTGTGTGTGTGTGTGTGTTGCAGCTCAATCAGCTGGTCTCACCCTGTCTGCGCTTTGTGTCGTCACCTGTTTGTTTCAGACGTTTTGTCAGATCCTGGACACGCCTTAACTCAACTACTGCTGCCAAACCAAAGTTGTTAAATTCAAAATGAAAACTTAGTTCACTGTAATTTATCTGGTCTTACCTGCTCAAAAACAAAAATAAAAAAAGAAGTTTGTATGTCTACTTCAGATCCAAACATAAAAAGGCCTTCACTGTTGCTTTAAGAAGATAAAAGAAAACATTTCCTACTTTTTGGGTTCTCAACTGTTTTGTGTTTTCTTGGCCAAATTTTCACCATTTTTTATTTGTGACGAAGGGCCGAACAAAATCATTTCAATGAACCACAAACGGCCCCCGAGCCACACTTTGAACACCCCTGTTTTAACTCTTCTTCTGCGCCTCCAGGTCTCGCTCTTTGTTTACGTCCGTCAGTAAAGAAATTAAGTTAAAGTTTCTGTCTGGTTCATTTGACCTTCTGACCCCACAGGAAGGCTTCATACTTGAAATCCTTAAAAGTTCTTGAAAATCCTTGAATTTCAATGAGTTGTTTTTAAGGTTTGTACATAACGTAACGTTTGATGAAAAAGATAAATTTTGACATGAACAGTTGAAACCAGATATATTCATACACCTGATAAAAAGGTTTAAAATTATTTAATGTCTGAAGTTGAATCTAAACTTTTCTTGTTTTAGGTAAAATTAGCAAAATTATTTCCATTTGCAAAATGTCAGAAAACTTGGTGAGAACATTTTTTTTATTTAATTTTTAAAACGTATTATTCCCTATTGATCTTATATTTTATATGTTAAACCAAGTTTTTAAAATCTTTTTGTTAAATTACTGATTTTTTTCAGACTTGGGTGAAACATAAAATTAAATTATATTTTATTTTACTCTTTCCCTGCTCTATAATGTAAAACACCATAAAAAACTTTATTAATAATATAATAACTCAGATCATATAATAGTGAGTTTAAATGTCGTCTTTTCGGTTCATTTGTATTTTAAATCTCCAAAGTGGGAAAGTTTGCAGCCTGGCCGTCGTCATGGTAACCTGTCGTGTGGTTTCAGGATGCAGACGTCTCCCCGGCGCAGCGGGACGAGGCGGTCCGCTGGCTGACGGAGCTCCACGGCCGGCTGCAGCTCTACCCGGAGACCCTGGTGTTAGCCGTTAGCATCCTGGACCGCTTCCTGGCTCCCATCAAGGTACCGGACAAAACAACCAGAACAATCAAAACTATATCAGCAATAAATACATTTAACTTAATAATTCAGCTCAAAAACTCTAGTTTCATGTGTTTTCCTTCCATCGATTGATTGATTATCGGTTCTCAGGTCCGTCCGAAGTACCTGCGCTGCATCGCCGTCGCCTGCTTCTTCCTGGCTGCCAAGACCTGCGAGGAGGACGAGGTAAAACCTTCAGCACCGGGGGGCAGCGCCGCTGGGGGAACGGCAGGGAGAGGCTCACCGTGTGTGTGTGTGTGTGTGTGTGTGTGTGTGTCTCAGTGTGTTCCCTCTCTGAAGGAGCTGGCTGCCTCCAGTAACTGCGGCTGCTCTCCGTCGGAGATCCTGAGGATGGAGAGACTCATCCTGGACAAACTGGACTGGGACCTGCACACCGCCACCGCTCTGGACTTCCTGCACATCGTACGTGTCTGTCACACACACACACACACACACACACTTAGAGCTTAATCGATTATTATAATAATTGTCAAACTTGACTTTTCTTAACATTAAAGCAGAGAAATCTTTGAAATATAATTTCAGTAACG